ACAAGGGGATGGAGTATATGTGATGTGGAAGTAGAGAGAGAGCTATTTGTAGAGGATAAAGAGGATCAGAAAGTAGAGGAATGGAGTATGGGGGAGAACACGGGAAGAGGATGATGAATAACAATAAGTTAAAGTAACTTAGATGGATTAAAATGTCCTAAGGAAACATTATTACATATAGTAACTTAAAATTTTAATATATACATATACATGTATATATAAATATGAGTTCTGCTTTCTCTCCAAGTCAGGGATGTCACTGGGGCACAGATGAGGAACAGGAACATTAAAGTCTCACAGTAGCTACTGTTCTGATATGGTGGGGTGGGGGAGTGCAGGGGTGGGGGGGTGCAGGACGGTAATCAGGACAGGCCTTAGGGTCTTTCAGTACAATGATGGCTTGCTCTTAGTCCAAAGACTCGAAGCATCTTAGACAAAGCAACATCACTAGTGACTAATGGGACTATCAAGTGACGGAGCCAGGGATTGGTCACTGTTGTACAACATCTCCAAAGCATTCCTATGAATAAAACCAGGGGGCAACTGTGCAAGCCCTCATCCTGAGCAAATTATGAAAAGGTCTATTTATTTCATTGCCACTTGTCAGTCATCAGTCATCAAACTGGGGATTCTCTAGGTTTTGTGGAAATGGAAAGCTCTTGTTTGGGGTCAGTCTAAAAAATGTTCATAGATGCTGAATACAGGCACTGAGATCCAAAGAGGAGTTAAAGATGATTCCAAGATTTTTGGCCTGGGAGAACAAGATTTCATTAACCGCAATGGGGGAAAAGGGTCTCATAGGTGTAGACACATGGAAACAAAGGGGACTCGGTAACGTCCCCTACAGAGATGACAAGATGGCTATTAGCATGGGGTGTTGGAGTTGGTGATTGAGTTCTTGATCAACTAGTTCTTAAAATTTTTGATTGGCATAGGATGCTACATATTTTAAATATTACTTTTGCTAGGACCTATTAACTTGTGTGCAGCTGCCCATCTTTCCCATTTAATACACATTGTACATCTGCAGGCTTTTTTTTATACTAGAAATCCACTTTGATCATATAATTGCTATGTTTGAGGCTCTTTGACAGAAGGTCAAAAGTACTTACTCTGAAATTGGAAGTATTACATAGTTTCTATTGCTAGACTTACATGCATGAACCCTCCTCTAGTCAAAAATGGGCTTTTTAGACACTCTGTGCATGGCTCTGGCCATCTCTGTAGTGTTTATTAAGCTGTCCTTTTATTGCACGACCTCTCAGCTTTCACCACCTGTACAATCCTGGACATCGGGTCCTTCCATGACTATTAATAGTGGGGAAGGGGCAACCACTGTTCTGAGCTGTCACTTGCTTTAATGGCATTAGCACTTTGGTGGCTTCCACTTACAGTCCAGTTTACATATGTGTATCATACCCAAGTTGCATAAATTCATGTACATATACTTGTAAATATCTGTAGACACGCACACACATTACAATGTCATTACAAGCAGGGATTTTTTTTTCTTTTTTGCTTACTTTCTTCAGAACTCATTAATTTCCAAGAGCATAGTGAGTGATACACAAATTATGGATGGCCGTTTTCATTTCTCATGTCATCTGCTTCATTGGCCCAAACATCATATTGTGATCATTACCCAAGGATTTATTTGTGCTATCACAGCCATTGTAGAAAAAAGATGCTACCACTATCCCGTTGCATAATGTTGGAGTTGAGCCTCGAACTGCTGAAACAACTTGCCCCATTACAGGTCATGAGGGATAGAGCTGAGGTATGAAGCCAGACAACCCAACACCACAACTGGAACATTTGTCCCTTCCAGCTCCTCTCCCCTATGAGATAGTGCACATGCCTCAGCATCCACACATATGGGTTCAGAAAGCAGGGGGTGGGGGATGGGGGTGGGGTGGGGTGGGGGGTGTTAAAAGAAGTCTGTTCCTTTGGCCTGTCAAAGAAGGCCTCCAGGCATCAGTAGACACGAGAGCTTTCTTCTCAGGCTAATTGTGAGAGAATTACTGTCAATACCAATGAGAGCTGCAGATTAGTGGCTGGTAATTCCTGAGGTTAATTTTCTCCTACCTAAGATATTATTGTAGCAATTTCACGATTGACGAATCTTTAAAATTGCTTTGGAAACATGGAGGTGACACTCAAGTTTCTCTGAAAGTCACCTCAGTGGGTGAAACTTCTCATGAAAGAAATGGTGACTGGAAGCCACACCTAGGAGTGGGTAGAGCCAAGGCCTTGAGGCCTGAGGAGCAAAATCCTCTCTTTTCATTTCTGGAGCAGGCCTACTGAAATTCCTGTTTTCTTCTACAAAAGTTGTTTATTCGTACGAATTGGGACTGATAACTCAGTTTGCTATTGATCTGTACAGCAGAAGAGATGGAGGAGTCGTGATGAGAACTGCAAGGCTGTAGGATTTGGCATGATAAATGCCATCATACCTCATGCAAGGAGCATGCATATGCATCAGGATGCCATGGCAGGGAAGACCTCAGGGACAGAAATGCAAAGGATAACATTTGAAGAAAATGTTTGTAGTGGTATTGTGTTCCCCAAAATATTGTGCACTCTAATAAACTTATCTGGGGGCCGAGAACAGGACAGCCACAATATTAAACATAGAGGATAGGCAGTGGTAGCACACACCTTTAATCCCAGCATTCCAGAGGCAGAAATCCCTCTGGATCTCTGAGTTCAAGGCCACATTGGAAACAGCCAGGCATGGTGACACATGCCTTTAATCCCAAGAAGTGAGCCTTTAATCCCAGGGAGTGATGGTAGAAGGCAGAAAGATATATAAGGCGTAGAGACCAGAAACTAGAAGATTTTGGCTGGTTAAGCATTTGGTTGGTTAAGCTTTTAGGTTTTGAGCAGCAGTTCAGCTGAGAGCCATTCGGATGAGTACTCAGAGGCTTCCAGTCTGAGGAAACAGGATTAGCTGAGGAATTGGCAAGATGAGGTAGCTGTGGCTTGTTCTGCTTCTCTGATCTTCCAGCATTCACCCCAATACCTGGCTCCAGGTTCGTTCTTATTAATAAGACTCTTTAAGATTCCTGCTACAAATGTTAGTGGGTTAATGTTGCTGCATCTACTAACTAGTACGACCTAACACAGAAAAGCATAAAGAACGTTTAACCACATGCCTCTTACTCTCTGAGTATGTGTGTGTGTGTGTGTGTGTGGGGTTGTGGGGGTCAGGGTGTATGCATGTGTGTTAGAATAAAATTACTTTTATATTAAGGATATTCTGTATTTTTGATGAGCATGTCTTGGTGTGGATAACATTCAGTATCTGTTTCTATCCTCTAAATTGAGCAAGTGCCATAACTTTTACCTTTAGAACCCTGCAGGAACACGTTAAATCCCACGTACATTTTTGGATATTGCTCTAAGGCAACACACTCTCCACTCATTTTCAAAACAGATTCCCCAAATAGCAGGAGGTAAACAAATATGCTTATAGAAATCCACAAATTTAGAGTGTAGTATAGTGGATATTCACCAGTTTGCTCATTTAGCAAGATATGTTGAATATGACAAGGGCAGTATGCATGCAGACATGAATACAGGAACACAGAAATGCACAACTAAGGTGTTTGGTGAAGTGCTGCCTCTGGTTGGGAAGAAAAAAAAAGATAAACTCAGAGGGCAAGGGAGGCATTGGCTAGGTTTTGTGTTCACCAGTTACATGGGAGGCGTTATGAAAGGGCAAGTTCTGTATTGGCAGAAATAATAAACTTGCTCTCAGACTTTATAAATACTAACTTTTCATAGACTGAGTTCAAAATTTTCACCAAGGCACTTGTTTACATCTTTAAATCTATTTTTCTCCAATGTTTTGTTCTGTCTTAATTAAGGATCACAAGGCAAAGGAGAGAATGCCTCATTTCAGGATGTAGAGGTCACCCAGTATGGTGAAACATGGAGTAGAGTAGGGAAGGTGAGAGATAGATGGAAAAGAAGAATGGTCAGACCTTGGACACACATCGCGTTTCCACAGTTTTTTGCTTTAGCCTACCTGTATGTGGGTTTCTCCATGGAAGGCTCCAGTCACATGCCTCAACCTAAAGAAGTCTCCCTTTTCCTTTCAGCAACTCATTCTTTTCTTGTTTCTATTCCAGAAATTACAGTCCAAAGCACATCTCCAGTATCTCCATCTCCACAGCCCTTTCTGTGGCACATGTCTTGCACCACTTGCTGAAAGGTCTGTAACAAGGCAGGAGTCCACCAATTAAGACAGAACAAAACATTGGAGAAAAATAGATTTAAAGATGTAAACAAGTGCCTTGGTGAAAATTTTGAACTCAGTCTATGAAAAGTTAGTATTTATAAAATCTGAGAGCAAGCTTATTATTTCTGCCAATACAGAACACTTAATGTGCAAGCAACACACATTTTATTTTGTAATGGATTATTTTCTCCCTGTGTTTCTGTAACAGTTAGCAGCACTCACAGGTCAATGTGACTCACAGTGCCCTCCCTACACAGCTCAGCTCACATTTCGAAGACATTGCCAGTAAATCACACTGTAGGAAACAAGAAATCAAGCTGTTAAAAAGCAACGGTGACTTAACTGCTCCGGAAAATACAGTCGATTTATGACAGTTAGGCCACTGAAGAAAAGCTAGGCTTGCCCCGGGTTCTCTGAGGGTAGGAACTTCCTCCTGCAGTGGGAGAAAATGCCAGAAAGGAAGAAGCACAATTTACATACACAGCAAGTCTAACCTGCCTCAAATCTTAGTCACAGCCTGCCTACTTGAGACACCCTGGGAAATCCCTGTTACATGGAAGCCAATAAAAGTTAAATCACATTGCTCCTCTTACATCCTTGTTCTGTGTGATTTGCATAGAGTCACTTCTGCTAATGAGAACTTGGTATTTTCTATCCTGAGTTAACAGAGACATAGGTTTTTCAGGGTTGGAACGTTCTCATCCTAAAAGGTACCACAAGAGTTTTTCTTTTTCTCTTTTTCCTTCTGCCTTACAAGACTCTCCGAAAATCAGCTGGCTCATCTTCCCAGGACATGGCTGCACGGAGCGGGTCAGGAGCTTATACAGAGCATGCGCAGGTAAGAACGTGTCAGGATGAGGTGGCCACCCAGAACCAAGAACACAACAGTAGACAGTATGGTGATTAAGGAGCAGTGGTAGCTGAACCTCCTTCTTCAACTAGGACCTGCTCTGTATTTTAACCAGTGTTATTTGACATATGAAAGATCACTGGCGACCATTGCACTGCCTTTGAACTCGCTGAGCCCGGCTGCTTCTACTGGATGAGAGAAACAGCTGCACAGATTCCTTTCGCTGTGCTGTGTGCTTTCTATTTCGTTCTTGTGTAGAAGAGCTCAGTTCCATGTAAAATTTAATAGGAATACTGTAAACATGTGGTTAGAAATAGAACATTTAGCAGTGAATGACTTAAAAGATTAATATATTCAACTAATGCTATAATTTTGTTCAGTTACTACAATAACATTCACTATTTCAATGAATTAATTATACTTTCTTAATGTTTTGCTATATTTCTATTGCTTTATATTGAATGTGTGCACACATGTGTGCCACAGAGCAACTGTGGAGGCAGAGGACTACCTGCCAGAGTCAGTCCTCTCCTTCTACTGTGTGGGTCCTAGGGAACAAACCTAGTTATTTGTCTTGGTGGCCTGTCCTATTACCCACTGAGTGAACTTGCTGGATTTTTAAAAAATTCTTTTTAAAGAGATAACTGAGACATAATGAGAAACTAAGTGGAATTCATTTATTCCTCTAGATATTTAATTTGCTCTGTTACAACTTGAATGTCTTAGCAATTGACTAGGATGTTTTGGTAGAGGAAGAAATATCCAGACATTTTCAACACAGACTGCATTTCACAGAAAATAATAATAATGAGTTGTTTAGAAGGAATAATTGTTTCATAAGTAGGCCCTTTCTAGAGCCCAGTGACTAAATATCTTTGTACATACTGTGATATATGATGTCTTTGCTAGCAAGCAAAATGAAAAACAAATGCACACAAAAACTCATGAAAATTCGAATTCCTTTATGTTTGATTGACTCTGCTTGGTTTTATCACATGTATCCAGGGCATACAAACCACGGCACAATGCTGATTAATCTCTCTAGAAATACATGCTGATACATTTCTTCCTCATACTCTTCCTAGCCATTGTGTTCTTTATTATCTCTTCTCAATGCCTCCTGTCAAAATTACTGTTTCAGAATCTTGTAAGACAGTACTCTATGGTTACAAGTAGATTTCCTTAGATATCAAGTACAGAAATCTTACTTATAAAATAAAAATCCACAATCAATGTGTTTTATAATTTTTTTTTTGCATAGAGAAAATTACCCGGGGGTTATAGTATGCAAGCAAGACCATGTAAATGTTTCCTACTCACAATTTTTGTATCACAAATAGAAGAATTTTAGGGGATCTAAGGTTCACATTTCCAAGCATGATGTTGGATGTTAGGAAACTTATCATTAGTGGGAATTGTGATGCCCTCTGACTGGAACAGTGCTCAGAGTGCTTCACACTTCCAGGGTTCCCCTCTGATGTTGTCACCCTGTTGGGGAGAACCACAAGTTTAGAATCAACTTCAGGGCACCTCTGCCTCTCGAAGTTCAGAACATGATGGATAAGATGGATTTATAGGACTTTCCAGGTCGAGGCCACTTCATGGCTTTATCAGTTCTGATCCAGAATGGGTCTGGTTTCTTAGAACCATCCCCCACAACAGAAAGTTCAGTTAGAATGCCTGGCATTGCTGCCACTTAGGTTTTGATGTCACGCTTCGGGTTTAGCTAAATGCTTCCCAAGGTAATGAGCTAGTGTATCACCCTGTTTCTTGACCAACAGAAGACTGTCCTTAAAATGTGGTCTGTTGAGAACCCAACTCTAAATTAAGAGACATTTAAAAACAAGAACAGCATCTAGTCTGTGTAAGATGTTATCAAACCCTGAAATATTGAGACACAAGTTAGAAAACTAGTTTTATAAATTGTTTCCAATGGAAAAAGTCTGTGAAATCCCCAAGTGATTACCCAACAGTCACTTCCTCTGACCACTTTCGGTGAAGACCAGTAAGTCTGGACAATGTTTCTTAGTTGTTTATGAATGGCTTTCAGGGTTGTGGTTCATGGTAACTATTGTGCCTGAAACTAAGCATAGAATTCAGGACCGCCTTGATCACCCCATTCATTGAATTACTTAATGAGTTGGATGGGATGTACATAGACTACTGAGTTACAGCAAGGAAGCAGTCTTTTCTGTGAGCTTTCCTGTAGGTCATCCATTTGCTAGATGGTGGGCAGTTTCTAGAACTTTAACCTCTTCTTTGAATAATTATCTCAGTCCCTGTGGGAAAAGTAACTGAAGACAAAGGTTATTAGTTCTCATTATGCTATAATGTATTATTAGTCTAAACTGGTATTCTAGTGCCCTGCCCAAAAAGGCTGGCTAAAATACACAAAGCCAGATAATCTCCACCCACTTCTATAACATACTTGTGCCATGGCCATTGAGGTAGTAAATTTATTTGTAATTTATAACCAATTTGATGCATTTTAGCTGTATGTATTAGTCTTGCTCATTTACAATTTATTAGTGAATTGTTTTAGTAATTAATTAAAATAAACGATTAGTAGATAGTATATCAGGTTGGTCCAACAGCTTGTCACTGTGATGAGAACTTTGTATATTAAGTTCTGGGAGTCAAACTCAGGGCCTTGTGCCCACTAAGCATAGGCTGTATCACAAGACACATATCTCCAACCCCCATATCAAATATGTTTTACAAAACACAAAATTTGGCTAGATGCATGATGTGTTTGAAGAACAGAATCTCTTCTCTTTATTTTGTAGGCTGCTTAATCTCAGTCTTTTTTTTTTTTTCTTTAATTAAAGTGTGCTCCATCAAGAAGACAGGACTTGACAAGTTCTCTTGAACAAAAGATAAGGCACTTAGAAAAACAGAGGCAAGAGGTAATGTAGAAATATTGGATAAAGTCACATAGCCATGTATTAAGCCTGAGAATAAAACAAGATATCCTTAATTTCTTTTATCTCTGTCCTTAAATCACAGTATTTATCTCTAGAGTACTGAACCACACTATTTTAAGAGAAAAAGCTCTTAGAAATCATGGTTTGTGCGATGATGAATGAAAAAGTGTTGATGTCATAAATGTGGTAATCATAACCCTACTTCCCCAGTTGTTGCTATTTCTACCACTTGCATCTGGAAGCTTACCACCTATGACCTTGCAAACTGACTTATGATGGGATTTGAGCTGTTACAAGCTTATGGTCAGTGAATTTAAGTTCAGTGATTTTCTGTGTTGAGCACCTAAATGGCTGTGGGTTACAGAACACTGTCTAATAGGCTGGAGAGATAGTTCAGTAATTAAGATACTTGTTGCTGTTGCAGTAGACCCAAGTTCAGTTCCCAGCACCCACATGATGGTTTATAACTATCTGTAACTCCAGTTTCAGGGGGGTCCTATATCTTCTGTGACCTCTAAGAGCAACAAGCACACATGTGGTTCACATACATGAAGGCCAAATATTCAAACAAATACAATAAAAATTAAAAATTGATCTTAAAAAAGCACATTGCCTTAGACAGAAGATGATTTCTAAAATGCTGCTGGGAATTAGCAGATGCTGTTAACTGTACTGTGTTCTGCCTCTAATGGGTGTGAGGACTCCTTCCTCTTCTTGACAGAGGAGGTGAAGAGCAAAGTAGATGCATCCCACATTGGGTCCATTTGCTGCCTCCTTCTGAGCATTTCATCCTCCTTGTTTTCCTCCGCAGCACCTTCTTCTCTTTGATGGTGGGTAATACTGTGTCTGGGAAAATCACTAAACTCTTGCAGAATAGCCTCTCTATGGCATAGTCCTACATGGCAATGGACCGACTATTTTCATAGACTATTATACACCTGAATACTAAGTAACTAAGAGTTTCCACCTGAGTTCCACCACAAGCATAATCTAATGACTGCCACTCTGGACTGGGATTTTGTTGTTGTTGTTGTTGTTGTTTTGTTTTGTTTTGCATTTAAGTAGAAGTTTTGTATTTTTTTTTTGACACGGTGACTACTCTCTTGATATCTACCTCATGCTGCTAATTGTTAAGATTTTTTTTTTCAACACAGAATTGTGAACCTCTCTTACAAGAAAAAGAAATACAGACCAGGATGTTATTTATTCCTTCTGGCTAGCAGAGAGTTTTAAATGTATTTCTAACTGTCTGATGACAAAAACCATTACTCCTGAAAATCCACAGGTTCAGGAAGATTTTATTGTCCCTTCATCCAGGAAGAATTAAAAGTTTATCTATAGGATGTAAAGATGGCTCAGTGGTTAAGAGCACTGGTTGTTCTTCCAGGGGATTCAAGTTCAATTCTCAGCACCCACATGGCGGCTTATAACAGCCATTACAGTTCTGCTCCAGGCCCAAGATCCCTGACACCCTCGCACAGATGTGTATGCAAGCAATACACATACAAATAAATAAATTATAAGAAACAAAGCAAGTAAATAGTAAAATTAAATTTAAAAAATGTCTACATCTCAAAGCATGTCACTGCAAGCAAATGACTGCCAATTAATAGAGTTTAAACTTCAAGATAAATTCTTCAAAAAAGCTGTCATAAAAAGTGCAGTTATTAGCCATATTAAACAAACAGGAAAAATATGGAAAGAGAGCGCTCCTATAATAATAATTCTTACAAAAATAAATACTTACAAAGTTTTATCAGATCCTGGTTGAACTAAACAAAGATGAAAACTAAAATAAGTAAGACAAGTTGAAATTTTCTAATAAATGCCTCAGCTGACTTGTTAAGCCGTGATTTGACACTTAGTAATTGTTTATTCAAGAGCCAGTTATGAAAATATGAAAATGTGTCCATCTAAATTGCCAGCTGTAGAGCTGTGGGGGACACAGCCCAGCACTGCTACCTGCAGCTTGAGGTATCCCCTTAGCTTGTAGGGACCACCACTCAGAGGAAACCAGATCTTTGACTTCACCACAGAAAAGAATTTCTGGATGAGCCAGTATGAACTGGAGTTTATCACAAAGGAAGTTAGACTTAGAAGGGGTTAGTAGGAAGTGAAGCTCTCAGGGAAAGAATAAGGTACACTCCAGAGTGTGGGTATGGGCTCCTCACAAGAGAGCTGTGCTTACTCTCCTAGTGGTAGCCATTGCATACTATTTTGGTGACTCAAGTTACAACTCACAGAGCTGCATAGATTCCTTCCCTCTCCATCTTGTTTTGAAAAGAGAGGCTACAAGATGGCGCTCGAGGTGCCCCGGATGGACTGTCCTGTGATAAAATTAAACAGTAGATCATAAGGTTTGCACAGAAAACGCTAAGGCATGCACTGTAGTGTAAACGGGGTTTCTAGGGAGATTACAGCTGGGAACAGAGAAGAGCCATTCACACTCAGGCCTCGAGCATGGTTCATGGCTGTTGTAGCAATCTAACTTGAAACCTCTCTCTATAAAAGGAAGTTTGTCTTTATACAGACTTCTTACAGTTAACGGTGGAGGTCTTGACTTAGCCTGGCTGATGAGAAAGAGGCTTCCACCAGACTATGGGGTGAGAGGTTCCTCTCCCACCCATGTCCTCACAATTCTCTTTCTAGCCTGCCTCAAAACCATCTCCATCCAACCAGAACTTCCAAGAGTGCTGCCTCCATCCATGGCTTCTAAAAATCTCATTAAGTTCAAACAGTGATCTCTCATTTCCTAAACTTCCAAATGGGGGGAAAGCTTTTGTCGAATCACCAAATTTTAATAATTTCAGCTCCTGGAAGTCAATCAACAATGGGACCAACAATTCCGAAATATGAAACAGTTATATGAAAGAAAGGTAGGAAACTCTTCATTTGGGGTTTTCTTTAATCCCGGTAGGGTCAAAGAGATTTTTGTGGATCCCTAACTTCTGGCAAATGAGGGACCGAGTTCTATCATCTTGATTTGCCTCTTGGTACTGAGGGTGGATGCAATGTCAGTCTGTTGCTGGAAATGTAGCCTTGGTTCAGTCCAAGCGTTCCAGTGAGTGCTCCCAGCTCTGCGTTGTTGCTGAGGCTGAGGTCGGATTAAGGAAAAGTCTTCTAGATAATCAGCTATCTTCCATCCAGTGGTGACAGTCAGAGTGGAAGGGAAATGCCTCCTCCTGCTTCCTTTAAAGCACACGCCTGTGGAGAAGCTTTTTAGACACAAAGGAACCTTTTTTGGGGCAAGTTTGTAATAGATTCATGTTGTTGTTGTTTGAAAGTACTCCACTTTCAAAAAGACAGAAGAGAGAAAGTAAGTTCCCCTAAATAATTCAGAATGAAGAAAACTGACCACAGTAACGCAACAGCGCTTGCATTTTCTTCCTCATTTGATGCTCAGAAGAATTTAATTTGGAAGCAGGAAGATCGTGACCCACGGCAGCAGTCTGGCTACCTTGTTCTGTCCATCCTGAACCAGTCCGTGGCTCCAAATTTTAACGACAATGTCCCCAGAAAGAATGTTTTTGCAGCTTCCCAGACTGGCCAGTGAATCCAGAGAAGAGAACAAGTGCAATTGTCAAATTGGAGGAACGGCCATGTCTAAGGCTCTAGCGCAAGACTCTATTTTGATTAGAGGAGGAACAGCAGATACCCCAGCCTGGTGGGTTTGCCCTTTGTAGAGGGCTATACCCACTTCCTGACCACCTGCAGCTTTGTCTTGCCCCGGGCTAACTAGAGGTCAGGCACAAAGAGCCCTGCACTCTCTGCTCTGGCTCCTCCATTCTTTGGAAGTAGAGGCGGTTTGGAGAAAGAAGGGGAGAGAGCAAGACGCCATTTGGGAGTAAAGTGTGTGCTTTTTTTGTGTAGAGCAAACCCCCTTTAACACGAAAACATGCTGATGTGTTTTAGGGAAGAACTTTTCCTTGGGAGATTTCCTGAACAGGTGGGGTGGGGATCCCCTGTTCTCAAGTGCACTGGGCTAGATCGTGGTGTGATTGTCTGCAATTATCTCCTGAACCCCTAAGGTCCTGGAGCTGAAAACGAAACTGGCAGCCACAGAAGACATGCACATCCTAGAGAAGAAACAGAAACAAAGCGTGACAGAGGGCGACAGGCAGCTAGAGGTGGGTAGCCCGCGACTGGCCTCTAATTGAGCAATTTAGGATGGTGAGAAACAGCTCCTCTCTAAGGAACCACCGCAGGCTCAGTGCGCTGGGTGGGTGAGGGGGGGGGGGGCTGTGCGCTTGCCTTCAGTGACCTGGAAATTAGAGGCCTGCTGATTGGGTGAGAACCTTCCAGGGCTTTGCAGCCTCTCCTGTGACTCCCTTTTATTGTTAATGACAAAGTCTCAGGAAATCTCCCACGAGTGTCACCTCTCTTACCCAGAATTGGCTACTGACTCCAGGCTGGCCTTGAGCCTGCTCTTCTCCAGTCTAAGTGTCCCAAGTGCTGGCATGGCAGAAGTACTTCACCACATCTGGGTACACAGAACACTTAAAAAACCACTTCACACTCATTATCTCATTCAGTATCTGGAGCCTAGCCTTGAACAGGTCGGTCCTAAGAACACGGAGACCTGAACCCCGGCTCCAGGCTGAAAGGATGAGTAGGGATGGGTTATTTTATTTTATTTTTGATGCAGGCTTTTCCCTCAGTTGTTAGACTTTATGAAGTATATAAAAGTTATGCTAAATTCTAATGACAGCTCTCTGAAGACATAGTAAGAATAAAAACAAGTATATGTATTCTCATGGGAAGTCTGGCCACTACCGTTGTGAGGTACTGGCAATGTATTTAAACATGCTGGAGTCTGACAATACTGTTAACAGAGCTTCTAGGGTGGGAGTCTGGGTCCTGGTATCCCTGACAGGCAGGGCTTAGCCACTATCCTCAATAGGCAAATTAAAGAGACAGTCATGAAAAGCAGATGAAGGAGATTTCGTCTGTGTACTCACATTGGGAAGACCAATAAAGAGGCCCAGTGACTTCCAAGGTCACCTTCAGGGTCCTGACATGAGGCTGAGTTTTAAATAGAGGTGAAGAGGGGTCCACTACTAAGCAGTCCTGGTTAGGGCATGGTTCTTACCAGATACTGTCATGTCCTGCTTCAGTCTGCCCTGCAAGATGGTCTGACAAAATTGTCAGCACCCCACAAAATCTCTTTGGCTAGCACCAGGCTTCATTTCCAGCATGAGATTCTTGGGGAAATCCCAAATCCTTGGGGGCATTATCTCAGTAGTCTGACAGTCAACCAGGAGGGCAAGAGTGCCTCCCTGAGTGTCTTCGCTCCTGCCAGGAGCAATACCTCCCAGACCATAGCCCAGGTTTGCTCACCTTGCTGAGGTTACTGTCAGGGTGAACCAGGAAATGGTTGTGACAAGTCCCTTTCTGCCATGAAGCACACACTCACTTCCTTCTCCAGCTACACCCTAGCTTGGAATTTCAGTAACATTTTCCTCATGCACTTGGGAGCATTTTCTAGATGTAATATAATAATATTCTTTTAACCTCTGCTAAATTAGAAAGTGATTGACTCATCTAAGTGCGTAGGGTCAGCCTACGAAAGTAAGTGGTAATGAGATGTTTTCACTTTCCAAGAAAATAAATTGCCTAAAATTGATTTCTTAAATTTAATAACTATATTGGAATGTGACTAGAATAGCATTTGAATCCCTGTATTAGCTACTTTTGATCTTGAGCTATCTATAGTCTGCAGTATTTATTTTTCTAGACTGGATTCTCATTAAGGATCCAATTTACTCTATCAGATTTTGCTATCTTCTGTATAAAATGAAGACCTGAGAGACATGAATTAGGACTTTTAGTTGTTTGAAATGGTGAATTTCTTGGAGACTGAGACACCAAGGCATGATGGCAGCTAGAAGGCTAGATTTCTGCCTTTTAATGGTAGTTGGGACAATGCTGTGCTCTGAATATTTATCTATAGTGAAGGTCCTTATTGGTCTAAAATTTATTGCTCTTGTCCTGGCACAAAATGGTGCAGGGGACCTTGAGCTATTTAGGACCAGGTTATTTCAGTGACTTCTTTCTTCTTTTCCTTTCTCGGCCTTTTAAATGTTTATAACCAGTCCCCTAGGAACAGGAAGTAGGTTGTTCTGCAGACCCACTGACATGAGTATTGAATGTGAGGATTAAGGTTTTAATTCCCCCCCTCCCCCTGGATCACCACAGTATCATTAAGTTTTGATAAAGGAAAATCCGTTCAGTAACCCTGTCCTCCAGGAATATTGCTTAAAAAATGTTAGAGAAAACCTCACAGGTCCTATTTGCTTAGTTTGGGGAATGACTGTCTGCTAGAAACAGCCAGTCTTTAAGGATTTCTGTCTTATCTTTCCCTTGGTAATTTTTGATCTGGGCCATGTTTTCTTGTCTCTTTCTTCATAAGGAGAAGGAAAGCCTAAGGGAAGAGTTGCAAGCGCTGAAGAGGGAGAATAAGCTGTTGAAGGAAAACAATGCTCTCGAGAGTAGGAAGAAAGAACATTATGCATGTGAAATTAAACGACTCAACAAGGTACCAGAGCAGGTGAAGCATGGGGGTAAACTGATAGCCGAGGCAGCAACTGAATCCTGCTGGGTCACAACAGAATGGAGGCCACAGTGTGCCTCTTTTGCATCTCGTGAGGACACTCTCTCAGGTTTACACAGAGCTCCTAGCCACAGCCTGCGGCTGGCCACATTTGGCTAGGACACTTTAGGGAATTTATGTCCTTGCAAAGGACTGTGAAAAGGAGAAATGAAGAGAAATTATAGACGTCAGTAAGAATTTTTTCATTTTTTTAAGAACCACGTAATGGCACTGGGTGTTTGTGAACAATAACGTATCTCTTGGTCAACCACAAAAGCTTCCTGAGGAAGCAAGCTGTTCTTTAAAGTGATGGCTTTGGAGCTGGGTGTGATGCATGCATGATGCATAGAAGCATGCTCAAGGCTGAGATGTCTATTGTCTGGGGAGTGAGCCTGAACCCACTGTGAGTAGGAACTGGTAACAGAAAGAGGCAAGGCTTTTGGGGCACACACATGGCTTTGTAGACAAGCTCAGAGGAGAAACTAAATTGTTGTAAAAGGATGATGATAAGTGTGTGAATGTGTGCATATGTTTCTGTGTGTGTATGTGTGTGTGTATATATATATGTGTGTGTGTGTGTGTGTATATATATGTGTGTGTGTGTGTGTGTGTATGTGTGTGTCTAAGTATATATGTGGGTATGTGGGTATTGTGGGTATGCATCTATGTGTAGGTATGTATGTATATATATGTGTATGTGTATATGTGTGATATGCGCATGTATGTAGTGTACATATGTATATGTGTATGTGGGCATATGTTTATGTATATATGTGTATATGTATATGTGTGAGTTGATTAATAAACTAATGTAATATTTTGGAAAATGAGAACAATAGTTCAGCACAAAAATGTAAACCCAATACTATTGTTTTCCCAGAGCTAAGCTAAGAGTAAATACAGGCATGTTGAAATATATGAATGAGTTGAGATCTATATCACCCAATTAGGGATTTCAAGACCAAAGTAACAGAAATGATCTTCTACAGCAAAAGAGAACAGCTGACAGGCTTCAAAATATGCTCAGTCCTGTAACGTTGGACTGCATGCCAGCTCATGCTCAGAGGTGCTAATAAAGACCCCGGGTGAGATGTGTGCTGGTATCATTGACAGAATGCTTACAAAGTAGATTCAGCATCAGGTCTGCTTGTAGCACAAGTCTATCTTTATATGCACCATGTGTAGGAACTGCCCTCAGATTCCAGAAGATGCCACTAGATCTCCTGAAGCCAGAGTTACAGGTGATTGGGAACAGCCTGATGTGAGTACTGGGAACTAGACCTCAGGACTCTTAAGAGTTTAGATGCTCGGATTTTGTGATGAATCCTTTTCTTTTTTATTATTGTAATGAATATGGAGATATTTCTAGTATCCCTCAGAGCACAACCTTGGGGCCAATCTTTAGCTACCTGCTAACCCATTCACTCAGCAGCGATACAAGGTTAAAAAATGAGAACAGGAACAGACAGTAACACGAGTAATTAAAATGACCTTTTCAAATGTATGCTTGTACTCACTCAGTTCCTTTGTTTGGAATAAAATACCCAAGGATTTCTGCCAATATCAAGTTCTTACAGAAATAAGATACTTGTTGGATACTTAACCAGAGTGAGAACTGAGACTAGTCAGCTGGTGCTATCCTGCCCAACATTGGCTTGTCTGCCACCTCACCATTTTGGGAATGGATGGATTGTTTAGTGTGTCAAAACTGATAGTGAAAATGACTTGACTAATCTACAACAAGTTCAAGGAAGTTGGAAAGCACCAACAAATGCTGATTCAACTCACATTTCATTCATGACTCATTTTAAAATTTCCTGAATAGCATTGAGGGGTAAACCAGGAAATTAAAAATATGGTATCTGCAGAAGTAGTCTAGTTGTAGGGACTTGGCATTTCATTAGCACATTTGATCATAGTCATTCATTCATGTCACCCTCTCTGGATTCTCTCTGTGATCGTTGACACAGCTTATATTATGCACAACTTTTCTGATTTTCCTTGAACTATGTAGCTTGTACATATTACAAAAGGACTAAGTGCCATTTCTGTTTCGCACTAGTAAGGCTCCCCAACACCATCATAAATAAACAAGTGAATTAAGATAAAAACCACCTTACTTCACGACTTGGTTCTTTCTCTAATTTTCTCCTGGAAGAAGAAACAAAGATCTTTCTCCTGCACAGTTCTGAAATTTACACTCCTATCAGGCTAGGTGGTATGTGTAGATTCCAAGACACATAAGTAGGAAATTCAAGTGTGTTCAAGACTACAAGCTGGCTTTCCCTTTCTGCCTTTATGACCATACTGTGTGGTAGTGGAGGGAGTGCACTGTCACTGAGATCATCCATCAGCCTCACTAAGTTTTGTAAGCTTTTCACAGAGGATGTGAATTCATAGACCTCTGAGAGGAACCTTTTCTATGTCTAGAGTCCTCATTTGACTGATGAGTAAGCTGTCAAATGGTGGTGCGGAGGAACTCATGGATGAGAGTGCCTATCACAATGTTGAAAATCATTTTTATTAAGCTCGTCATGAATTGTAAGTCTCCAAACAAGAGTGCATAATCCAAGTATGAACATAAAGCACTACAGGCTGGTGATAAATGATGAGAATTCACTAGCAATGAAAAGTTTCTCTTTGCCTCCTCATGCCATGGTGAAATCATAAAGTTATAGCACATATCATCACATATAGTCATGAGTAAATAAATGTTTTGGTAAAGCATAAATATGGCTGGCTAGGTCAGGGAATAGAGTGCTGGAAAATGACAGAACAGAAGAGAAAACAGCAGAGTCTGGAGGCAGTGGCTGTACAAATGATCAAGTGATAAGGATTTCCTTGGAGATATGGAGTGGTTATATAGCAGTGTTCTTGGATCCCCACTAGACCTGTGGATTCAGAATCTCTGGAGAGAGTGCCCAGGGAGGATATGTCTGCTTTCTTTGATACCCCAAAGGTTGAGTAACACTAAGGTCCTTGTAAACCTCCTATCAACAATGTGCTTCATTTTTAATATAGGCTCTTCAGGATGCCTTGACAATTGGGAGCTCTTCTCTTTCTGAGGGCTCAAGGAAATGTAAAGGCAGGTGCAGCCATGCAGAGATGAGGCCAAAGGTGGAAAGTCACAAGCAGCAGGTAAGAGGCTGAGGCAGAGGCGGGAAGTGGTATGATCATGGGGAGAGCATAGGCTCACTGCCTGTGTGCCTTTGGACATGTTTGCATGTCTTTCGATTAAAAAGGTAGTAAAGGTTTTCTGACTTAGAGTTATTCAGTTTTAAAACTTTATAGGAAATATGGAGATGGATTATTTCAGCTCCACTGTTCATAGAAGAATTCACAAAAGAGGGGATTGAATTTCACATGGTGAAGGGGCTTTACCCAGGATCACTTAGTCAACAGAGTGGCAACTGCATTACCCCGTGTGAAATTCTGTCCGCAATGAGTCTCGAGAGTCTCATGTAGATATGCTATATTTCTACAACACTATTATCTCAAACTCTGGACCTTTTCAGAGAATGGTAGCAGTAGGACTATTCCATTGTAGCTGTTGGTCTCTGGCTGGCTGAGTAGTAAGTGAAGTCCGTTAAATGGCCTTTATTTGTATGTGTGTGTGCAAACACATATGTCACATGGTTTCTGTGGAAATCAGAGGAGGACATTCAGGAGTTGGTTCTCTCCTTCCACTGTGTGGGTCTTGGGCATTAAACTCAGTTCTTCAGGCTTAGAGGCAGACCTTTTACCTACTGAGTCATCCTGCAGGTCCCAGCTAGTGTAGTCTGAAAAAGAATCCCTCTCTTTCTCTGATGTACTCACTGGCAACCAGACTAGCTAGATGACCGACAGTTCGCTGATAGATAGCAGCTTCGTCCTCCCACTGCCTCAGCCTCTCTCCAGCTCACCAAGTGAACTTCATTACTGCAGCATAGGAAATAGACTATCTGCAAATTAAACTGTAAGGTTTGATCTTCTTTCCCAGCAAGGAAAAGTATCTGGGTAAATAGTTTAGTTCAGGTTTGACGCAGACAATGGCGGGTATACATTGGTTCATAACAGCAAAGAGGAAACTGAAACCCATCTCCTCTGTATCGCTAATGTCTTTAATTTTCATTTTAACCATCATGGAGTGCCACATGAAATACATGTGGTGTATGGAATTCTGTGGCTTCACTTAGGAGTTATTGCCAGTTAGTTCTGTTTTAGAACTTGAAATAGTGTTCAGACATTAAAGTCCTTCATAGATATGGTTGACTTACTCCACCACAACAGTGCCTGAATTTGGCCAGTGGTCCACGATCGAAGATAGAACAAAATAATAAGTAAAGACAAGTTTTAAAAACTATCCATGTTGGCTTGGTCCTGTCTTAACTGGGTGTACAAGGATTTGCTGACTCCTCATGGGAGGCCTTGGAGGAGGAGATGGGGGTGCGCTGGGGGAGGGGAGCAGGAGGAGGGATGAGAGGGGGATCCATGGTTGGTATGTAAAATTAATAATTTTTTTTAATAAAAAAAAACTAGCCATGCTTCTTTACATCTGAGCTCCAAATGTGTGCTCAATAATAAAGATTTGTAGACTGGCTTTCCACACAACCAAAGATAAAATTATAATCATAGGAATCTCTATATACACCATTAGGGAACATTCATGAACAGAGATTAAGAAAGCTTTAGGTCGAAAAAAACACAGATAGTACCTTCTTTTAAAAAATAATTTAAATACCTAAGAGGGAAAATAAGTTCTCAGTCCCTGTTGGAAAGACTGAACTCTCAGGTGTAGGTTAGAACAAAGAACCTTTGGCAAACATATGTGTGTTCTTTTTTTAATTTCTTTTTTTTAAAACCTCAAGTCCTTTTGAATTCTAGTGATTAACACTTGGTATTTTAAGAGGTTATTACTGGGGGTGAAATCATCTCCATACATTCTTATAAGGAGATAGAAACTACTAGAAATTCCTTTTACCTTAAGTGTATTAAAGAATTACCCAAGACACTGGGTCCCAGACTATTTATGAAATAAGAATTCTTCTGATCTTTTTCTTATAATATTTGTCTTGGTAGAATTGAGAGTTTAACTGCCTACTATGCAAACACAGGCAAATTGTTTTGAAGCCTTTTTCTTAGAAGGGTTGTGCTGGAATGTGTCTGCCTTACAATGCATACATATTTATAAATGCCATGAACATGACCAGTGAAATCCCAGGTTTTCCTCAGTGGATTTCCAGAGTTAATGGAACTGGTGCACTTCCAAGGAAGCAGGTTTCATGAAGAGTATATTAAATGCAAGCAAGTCAAGTGCAATAGAATATATTAAAAGCAGACTAAGTAAACTACTGTGATGAGAAAATACTGACGTTAATTAAAGAAAATGTAGCTAACATCATGTTTTTATTAATTTTGAAGTTAACATACACTGTAAAGGATTTCATTATATTTTCATAAATATATTCATCTGCCCCTCCTTTGCCTGTCTCCCTTTTCCTGGTGTTCTTCCTCCTCAGATGCTTCATTGCTCTCAGATGCTTTCCTGCTCTCAGATGTTTCCCTGTTTCCCTGCTCTCAGATGCTTCCCTGCTCTCAGATGCTTCCCTCCTCTCAGATGCTTCCCTCTTCTCAGATGTTTCCCTGCTCTCAGATGCTTCCCTGCTCTCAGATGCTTCCCTGCTCTCAGATGCTTCCCTGCTCTCAGATGCTTCCCTGCTCTCAGATGCTTCTCTGCTCTCAGATGCTTCTCTGCTCTCAGAAGCTTCCCTGCTCTCAGATACTTCCCTGCTCTCAGATTTTTCCCTGCTCTCAGATGCTTCCCTGCTCTCAGATGCTTCCTTTCTCTTATGTCCCGTGCATTCATCCCATATGCTTTCTACCTCTGTCCTTTCTCCTTTAAGATTTCTCTCCATCCTTTCATGACTTCCTTTTAATTTTAATATCTTAAACACACACACACACACACACACACACACACACACACACACACACACACACCTTAAGTAATTTGATTTATACTTAAATAGCCAGAGCTTTTTCCTTGGAAGCTGTGTTATGCCTCCAGTGAAGAGGGAATTGGTGTGAGACCTGCTATGATGGCCATTTAGCTTCAAAACTTTTCAGTCTTGCAAGAATTAATCATTCTTTCCTTAATTCACAGTAGATTGTGAGTTAAATGTTGCTTTCTTGACTTTTTTTCCAGTACTGACATGAAATTCCCAATTTTACATGTGAATTATTTTGGCAGAACCATTTATAAGAATTTAGAAATTATTTTATGCAATAAAGAAAAAAATTAAGTTAAAAGGGATCAAAATATAATTAGATAATTTTGTGAAAATCATTTATTCATTCTAATAAGTAACATAACAATGGGTGAAAAGTTCTAATTGTTCTTAGTGAACAAATTACTCTCTCATTTATTTCTTACATAGGAAGCTTCTTTAATTCTTTTTGTTCAAGCACGAATTATTTTATTTCCTACCATATTTCATTCCTACTATATTAAATTCAGATTGGTGATAACTCAGTGTTGAGGTTTGGCAAGGTACTTTCTGTTACAGAGCTCTGGTCCAGTCAAGAATATATATCCATCTGTTTAACATTATGGAGAATGATCCACTATTAAATTTTATTCACATGACATCTATAATTTTTATTCATGTCAATAAAACAATTAGTTGTCTAAGAACAATATAGCATAATTGTGTTTGTAAGCAAAGAAACATCCTCAGATCAAATATCTTAATTCTATCAGAATTTTTTTCAAACTATGACAGCCTAACATTTTTAATGTCTCTTTCATTGTTGTAAAACAGTAATAGAATTTATTTAAAAAGAAGCGCAGGAGACAACTTGGTCTTGTTACATGTATTGACAGGGACATGTGACCATACTTTATAGGGATGTGGAGCATGGGGTGTAGGATGTCAATGATTTGAGTAACAAATCAAAAACATCTTCTTCTGGGTGTGTCAGATATGGAAAGATCCCAGGCTGTTGACTTTGAAAGATGAAGTTGGACCTTAAATAGTAAAAGGACATAAAGCAAAGCAGTGTGACTCTGAATGGCATACCTTATCTATCATATGGTGCAGAGAGGCCTGGTGAGGCTGCTGATGGTACAGAAGGTGCAAAGAGCAGTGGCGGTCCTGTGATAACACATACCATACTTCTCAACAGAGAGAGAGAGAGGATTTCAGTGTCAGGCTGACCAACTCCCATTTCATTTAGCAAGCAGTCGAAGTTTCTGGATTTATATCCAAATAGCTTTACCAAGACAGAATGATATGACCTGACAAATTTGTTTAACAACTTAAAGTTATATGACTTTCTAACTTGCACTTGGGAATTTCAAGATAGAGTCAACATATCACAAGCAGGGGCAGTCCCTTTCTGTTGGCATTACTGCTAGCGACACACCCACCCTTGGGCTTCTGAGTGAGCAGTTTATTCATAGCTGGGTCAAAACCTCCTGAGTAATATCTTTTTTCAGTAGATAAAATCTTGTCAGATGGAGAAAGAAAAACCAGAAAAGCAAGCAACTAAAATGGATGCCTTGGCCCATACATAAGGCCTCTTGTCTTTCATCCACAGGGTTTTCCCCACATTTCCCATGGTGCCAATGAAATCTTTTTCTAGTAATGCAGTAGATGGTCCAGAACCATCCACATTTTCACTAGTCCTAAAAATGTCAGTGAATAGATAGTACTTAGGAATTACAGAGATCATGGAACCCATGTGCTTCTCGGAGTATATCACAGGCACACAGGATGTGTCAGTATGTTCTACAGAGGTCGTGGAAACCATGTGCTTCTCAGAGTGTATCACAGGTACACAGGATGTGTCAGTATGTTCTACAGAGATCATGAAACCCGTATGCTTCTCAGAGTGTATCACAGGTACACAGGATGTGTCAGAATATGTTTTAGCAAATGCAGATTCCTTCACAAACCCACAAGCACCTGAGAAAGTCAATTCTTAGGTGATTCTCTCAGTCACTGGCACAGTGCAGACTGGAAAGCTGCATCAAGGACTTTGTCCCTAGAGAACAGAATGTCTTCCTGTCACTGAGGCATCCTGCTCTACTGATTTTCTAAAACAGACTTTATTTCTCTTCATTACTAATTTCCTTCCTGGAATCTCACTCCATCATCTCTGTCTATATAGTTTGCCTTTAGGAAGTCCCCTCTATGGAAAGAACTGACAAACAAAGCCATCTGCGTGTACTTCTCAAGTGTTTCCAATTTCCTTAATGAAAGTGCCGTCTTGGGTAAGACTTACTTCATGAGACACTTCTATCATACCTAAGTTTTTATTGACATTTATTGTTTTGACCAAGCATTATGCTAGATTAGGCTAGGCCTTCAAATGCAAACAAAGGCTGGTTGTATATAGCAAGTGTCAGTGTGACTTCTCAGTTTTACCTTCTTGCAGTAAACTGACACTATTGCTCTCCCCAGATGTGTCTCCCAGTCTGTAACTGTGGCCTAGTTTTCCATCTGCAGAACCAATGGGTACCAAAAAATCCCAGGGCCAGTACAGCATCCATGGGAGAAGGCAGTGAATAAGGATTCCTCTTCCAACATAGGAATATATAGGAATCTCTTTTGGTAGAAGTGATGTGCATCTCTGAAATTAGAGCATCTCTTTCACATAACCTCTGATTTGCAGTGTTCCCCTGGTCCATGTCCACTATAATTATCCTTGGAACACTGAATGCACAGGACATATAGATATAAATAGATTAAGTAAAAGATAACACATTGAGCTCTAATTTCTTAAACAAATGTATTTTATATGGGCCATTCTTAATTATCACACACGATACCATCCAAAATACATTTTTTTTTTACATATAAGATGAACAAAGTAAATATAGCCAAACCAAACAACTGTGATGTTCCCTTCAGTTATAAACTGGTATTGAAATACTATGAATATTTCTAGGTACATGCAAAAGAGTTTTGACCTTTTCCAGTTAAAACGATTGTCTCTTGGAAGATCCAAGACAGTAGCTCACTAAAATTCTTTGCAGGTGTGTTTGCCAGGACAGCTGAGTTATTATTTGTAAGTGGAATTGATTTGGACCATCAACCTAAGTCAGTACCAGAGTGTTCTTGCTGTCCTTCTGAGGAACAATATTCCCCACCCCTATGATCACTGTATTTGATTCTACTCTGCTTTGTCAGCATGGACAGAGTCTTCATCCATGTGGAATGGTCACACATTCTCTGCATCTTGGGATGACCAGACAACTCTCCCTGCCTAGAGGTTTTATGAACAATGTCTGTAACCATGCCCCATCTCTGATATTGAAGTAGGGTTTTCCTAGCAAAGCACTTAGAGAATTAATTTCTCCTGGTTGCCTGGAACCCTGGTAGTTTTGTATTGGAGTATAACTAAAATCTTTCTCTTGTGGGAGCAGATGATGTCTGTCTCTTTTTGGACCTGCTTTGGACCTTCCCTGATGTGGTCAGTTGCTAGTCGAATCTACTCCCTCTCTTTGTTACCCGCTCTCCTGCTCCTCAGTCTTCACCAGAAACACTTCTGGGCCTTTTCAACCTCAGCCATGATTATTTTAAAACTTTCCTTTCAAGGAGGTAGAAGTAAATTAAATTTGTGGGAAACATAAGGAAAAAGAGTTAGCCCTACAGTTCGGGAAATCAGATACTCTTGTGAAATACAAGGTACAAAAATAATTCAACTTTATGTAGGACTAGAAATGGTTGGCTGCTGCTGTCAAACCTTCATTAACAGGAAGAAGGAAGAAATTCATGTCCTATGGTGTAGTAAACTTATCCTGTCAATTAGAAGAGGCAAGGAATTCCAGATCATAAAATCATCACCAAAAAAGGCCAATATTTGATTAAGGCAATGTAAAGGCTTACATTTTAAATAGTATTCTGTTGGATGAAATCAGTGTAACAAATCCTCAAGGTGAGTTTTAAAAGATTAATTCACCTTTCTTTATATCTAAGCCTGAATTAAATCACATCTAACAATGTTGGTAAGATTACACTTTATTACCTTCTTTTGGCAGCTCTTCTAGAGTATAAAGCTAGGGAGTACACCACTTATCCTATGTGTTACTTGAGACATCTAAAAATAAATGAGAAGATAAAGAAACAGAGCTGATCTCATTTCCTCTTGTAGCTCTTTCATGGACCAAGGAAGCTAAGAGCCTAGGTGCCTGAGCGGTGAGGGAGGTTAGACTGCAGGGGAGGCAGCCTTTTTGGTAACTGAACTAAATAAACAAGGATGGTTGAGCTTTTCTGCTACTTTTTGTATTTGCTATTCACTACAAATTGCTGTTGTGGCAGCCTTGCAAATTCTCCAAATTGGCTAATTTTCCTTGCATTATATTTAGGAGAGAATTAAATAATTGTGCCCAAGCCTGCATTATCTGTGGGAGAATGGGAAAAAGGAAGCAGAGTGAGAGTGAGCAGAAAGCTAGACCAATTCTAGGGACTGGAAGAGCTGGTGATCCTTCATTTCAAGAATTAAATACAAAGACAGTGGCTTGCAATTTTCTTGGCAGTTTCAGACAATAAGTGTCTTGCTGCGATGACACAAAATGACCAATAGCAACTTAGAAGGAAAAGGTTTATTTGGTTTACTTATTCTGAATCACGGTCCATTGAGGAAAGCCAAGGTAGGAACTCAAACTGGTCAGGAACCTGGAAGCAGAAGCTGATTCAGAGGCCATGGGGAATTGCTCCTTCATGGCTTACTCCTGGTGGCTTGCTCAGCCTGCTTTCTTACAGAACCCAGGACTACCAGCCCAGGGTGGCACTGCCCACAATGTGTTAATTAAAATGCCCTACAGGCTTGCCTACAGCTAGATCTTATGCAAGCATTTTCTCAATGGAGGTTCCCTCCTCTTAGATGACTATAGCTTGTGTCAAGTTGATATAAAACTAGCCAACACAATAAGGTATCATTTATTCAATGCAGCTGGTTTATTCCCTGATAATCAACATTTAAGTCCAAACTTAGGAAAGTTTAAGTAAGAAAAAAGTCTAATCCATCTAGTGCAACTGCTGTGTAATGTAGAGACCACCTTCCGCAGAGCCTCAGCATGAGGGAAGCTTTGTCCTGCTTGGCCTCCTGAACTTCTCTTCACTGCCTTCCCAAGATACCTGTACCTTCTTTTGCAATCCATTAGAAAATATTAAATTTGTATTTTGTCCCTGGCTTTCTTATTTTCTATAAGTGAAGGTTTTAAAAATAGTATTTATTGACAGCAATCTGTTTTATTTAATTTGCAGGAGATAGTAAGTTTTTAAAAGTGTTTATAGTTCTTCAGAGATCCAAACACATCATTTCAAGACAGAGAGAGGGAGAGAGAAAGAAAACAGAGAGAGAGGAAAGGGATGTTTTGGATACTGTCTGTTGCTATCATAAAACATTGACTGAAATCAGCTTGGGGAAGAAAGGGTTTATTTGGCTTACACATTTGCATCACAGTTCATCATTGGAGGAAGTCATAGGAGGAGTACAAGGCAGGAACCTGGAGGCAGGAACTAAAGCTGAGACCATGAAGGAATGCTGCTTGCTCCTTCCAGCTTGCACAGCCTACATTCTTATACATCTGCCCAGGGGTGGCACTGTGCACAATAATTTAGGCCTTCCCACATCAGTTATCAGTGCCCCATAGATATGCTTACAGGTCACTCTGACAGAAACAATGCCTCAGTTGAGTTTCCCTCTTACCCTGTGATTCTACTTTATGTCAAGTTGACAAAACTTAACCAAGACAGGAAAGAGAGAGGTTGGAGGAGGGAAGAAAGAAAAGAGAAGAGAAGAAAGCAAGAGAGGGGAAGAGGGAAAGAAGGGAGGGGGAGGAGGAAAGGGACAGAAAATGTACATCTTCCAAGTCACTTGAACTCAAGCCAGCCATGTGCAGAAGAGCTGAGGTAAAGGGGTGAGATGAGGAAGATCGGCAAAGGTGTATCAAAATGACTCTTTTTGTATGTTGACTGCATCATGAAATGCACAGAGTATAATTATATCTTAATGTGTCACAATGAGTTTTTTGAAGTCTGTATTTCTGTAAGAGTGCTTTATATTTCCCCACAGCCAGAGTATCAGTGGAATGTCCTTAACCAGCTTCCTCCACATGTACAGCACAAGGCACATGGTAAGACCACAGCTTTAATGGCCATTCCTTCATGTTTACATACAAATGGGATCTTTAGGGGAATGCCTACTCCGTATCCAGCTGTACTAGGGAAGGACTTCCTGTGAAGTTCTGTCACACACATAACTCTAATTTGGTGGTCTGGAGTGAACTCCTTCAGACAATGTTAAAATGCCAAAAGAAATGCATGTCTCAATTCTCTCTTCTGCTCCTATTACAGACTCAGAGTCAGAGACTTAGAAATGAAAACTTTAAGTAAAGCCATATATAGTAACATCAACAACACCCTGATTGTACCCCCAAGGACAGAAGCAAACCCACACAGCCCAGGAGGATTCCAGACAGACTGTTCATTTTGTTGGCCTCATGTAGACCAATAGCTTCAAACCCACTCTGTAGCTAAGGATGAGCTTGAACTCCTGATCCTGCTATGGTGTCCTAAGAGCCAGGATTACAGGTGTGCATCACCAAGCCCAGTGAACAGTGGGTTTCCAGGAGTGGGTAGTATGAACTGAGTTATGGTTAGAGTCCCTCTTTCATTCTCATACACTTAAAGCCTTCTATGACACACACTGACTCCACCTTGTTCATTTTGAGATGCGATTTTTTTCTAGAAACCTCAAGATAAGCTCTGTAGCTTCAACTTGTACTTGAAATGTTATCACATTTGTTAATTCAAAGCTGAGACGATTTTAGTTTTTAACATGTTCCACCCCTCAAGCTCTGCTATCTGCAGTGCACATAGCTCCTCTCTTGGCCCAGCATCAATCCATGTCCACAGGTCTCTGTGGCAAGTATCCCACGTTCCTGGCATCTCCAGTATCGTAGAGTCTCTATGGCCACCTTTGCTCTACCTTCACAGCTTCACACAATGGTCTTTGAAGACCTCCTTGCAGGGACTTGGATCTTGCTACACATTGCCTGGCTTCAGCTGCTGTCTGAAACCATGGAATGGAACAGGACTCCATGACGCTTTGTCTTTCATGAACCTTGTCTTTCATGCCACTAACCCAACACCACATGGATGACATTGCCAAGCTCTGCTGCCATCATTAGATATAACCTGGGATGCTTGGAGCACAGTTGCATCAGCTTCTGTGCTCTGAGCCTGGGAAAGCTCTCTCCTGAGCTTCCACCTCTGAGGAACAGGAAACTCTCTCAGGTGCTTTCTTAGTCCAGGCTTTCTCTTTTTGTGTAAATTTGAATTTTTATGAATTGGAGCCTTTAACAAGTGGGTCTTATCTTGAAGTCACATTTTACATTGTTCCAGTGCCGAGTGCCATCTTTCTTCTCAGTGGAGCTGCTCTACTGAACGAGTGTAGGTGCTTTATTGTCTGCACTCTGTGTGAAACTGTAAGCTCACTCACATTCCTTCCTCAACCAAAGAAATCAGTCCATTGTCTATAAATACAAGTTCTCAGGACACAGCTAGAATGTAGTCATAGTCATGTTCTTTGTCAAAACATCACATGAATGCCTCCTAATCCTTTTCTTTTCTCTCTCTTTTTTTTTCCAAGACAGGGTTTCTCTGTATAGCTTCTGTGCCTTTCCTAGAACTCACTCTGTAGCCCAGGCTGGCCTCGAACTCACAGAGATCCACCTGCCTATGCCTCTCGCGTGCTGGGATTAAAGGCATGCGCCACCACCGCCCGGCTAGTCCTTTTCTAATAGAGCCCTCATTCTCCATTGAGATCTCATTGTCTTCATTTTTCTTAGCATTTTTGTTTCCCAAGATCCCAGCAAAATGGCCACCAAGCTCTCCTCCAGGATTCTAGGGCTTTTGTAGTCCAGAGCACCAAACTATTGTCTGTTTCAGTGATAACGCAGTTCCAGAGACCCAAGAACTGCATTCTTACGTTTACACAGGAATCCCCCGACTTCTCTTGTAGGTACTAATTTTTGTCTAATTTCTCTTCTGTTGTGATAAATGCTCTGACAAAAGCAATGAAAAAGGAAGGGTTTATTTGAGCTCACAGTTTGAAGTTAAACTGTGTAGTTATGGAGAAGTCACAGTGGCTGCAGTATGGGATAACTTCTCATGTTGCATCCAGTCAATAAGCAGAGATAGAAATGACAGGCATGTGCCCCCTCAGGTCCCTCTTCCACTTTAGTACAGGATCCCATCTAGGGAATGGTGTCTCTCACAGTGGGCAGTTCTTTCTGTCTCAATTAATGTAATCAAAGCAATCTCCACAGGCGTACCTGGAGGCTTTTCTCCCAGGTGACTCAAGACTTTGTCAGTTTGACAATGCTGATCACCATACAGCAGCCCGAGAGTAGTAAAGGCCATAGGTAACATTAGTATGACAAAGAAACATAAAAAGTGGGAATTCTATGATAAAGTATCCAGATATTTTTCAGACAACTAACTCGACTTTCATTTTGCTTTGCTTTCTACTACAGATAGATTATAATACAACCAGCAAGGTTTTGGGCTCCTTCCATAATGGAGAAATTTATTTGAAGGACATATTGTTAACCAGGACCATTGCATAAGGTCTGCAGTTTTGAAATCCAGTGAATTGCTACATGATACAATTTTCCACTTTCTATTGGTCTTCAATGAAAATAAGCTATTATTTCCATGTGCTACAGTTTTAGTCACTAGAAAATACAATACAATACAATTCTCTATAGAGAATTCACTAATTAGTCACTTATAAATCACTACTGCAGTCCTCTTAAACCAATGTTATGGAAAATAATAGTCACATAAAGTGTGAATTAGTTAATTATATTCATAACTTAAATAAAATAAATTAAATTAAATTTATCATCAGTCAAATAAGATCTATTGACATATCTGCCTAAGAAAATGTAGTGAGCTTTGTGATGTATAAACTTGTAACATAACAACAGTAGCTACAAGAATAACATTATAATCAAGAGAAATACTTGCAATATACCAACTCCAGTAGTTTTATAACTGTTTATTTTAATCTTCTGAGCAATACTATAACATAAATTTGTTTTATGACATATGTAAGGAAATGAGCTGCAGAGAATTTTAGTAACATTTAAATTTCACAGGGCAATTTAGCACAATTTAGCACTAAAAATTTAGATTCTTTTATACACAGGATTGCAAACCTTGGGATTTCAATTTCAATCAACAGTGTCTTTGAAAGCCTACTCCCATCTCTATATTAGATATGTGAAAAATGAGAATGTGGGCTCTTATTTGGATAATGTTTAATTCTCAAGAATTTCATCTTCCTATGACTCACAGCATGCATTATAGCTTTCTCTAAAATTTTTCATTATAATTAAAAAGTAATAAACTCATTCTATAAACAACACAATTGCTCCAAAGGAGGGGATAAAACCACTATGTAACACAAATAGAAGGTACTGTATTTTCTTCATCTGATATTTAGACTATCACAGGTAAAAGACATAGTACTGTATATAATTACTAATGAACGTATCATTACCTAACCAGTGCATGAAAGGCCTGGCAGAACCTCGCAGGGTAGCTGCTGTTGAAGCCTGTCATTCTCTGTCCCCACACAGCCCTGTCACTGACTTTGGCTGGATACAGCAGGAGGATGAGTATCTGTGGGTTACTAAATAAGTTCCTTACTTGGAATTAACTGCTTGTGTTCCTGCTGCCCCCTGTCTACTCTGTAATTGTTTCAGAACTCACGTTAGGCTGTATTCAGGAAGTCTCTGAATTCGTCCTCATCACAATGATTCCTATGTGGTCATTAGCTTTACCAGTGCATCTTGCTGTGCTTTGGTTTATCTGACTGAGAGTCCCTTTAGGTCTGTAGTTTTAACACAGTTGTTTAGAATTTTCACATAACATAGCCGGGCAGTGGTGGCGCATGCCTTTAATCCCAGCACTTGGGAGGCAGAGCCAGGCGGATCTCTGTGAGTTCGAGGCCAGCCTGGGCTACCAAGTGAGTCCCAGGAAAGGCA